TGTAGTCTGACCAATTCCTGAATGAATGACTGTTATGATTTGGTTGTTTTTAGTTAATCAAAATACTGCAGCCAATGCATTCCATCCAACTCCAGAATGAATGTCTTTCATGATTTGGTTCTTTTGAGTGAATCAAAACTACACAGCATGTCCAGTGTAGTCCATCCAATTCCCAAATTAATGACTCCTATTATTTGAGTTTTATTAGTAAAGCAGAACAACGAGTGTAGTCCAACCAGTTCCTAAATTAATGACTCTTTTGATTCAGTTCTTTGTAGTTAATCTAAACTATGCCTTCAGTGTATTCCATTCAATTTCCAAGTGAATGACTCTTATGGTTTGGTTCTTTTTAGTAAATTAAAAACATACAGCACGCATGCCCAGTGTAGTCCTATTGAATAACTCTTGATTCAGTTCTTTTTAGTGAATCAAATTCCCTAACGAATGACTCTAATGATTTGGTTCTTTTTAGTCAATCAAAACTGCACTCCGTTTAACTCCAGAATAAATTATTTCTTTTAAGTGAATCAAAACTATACAGCAGGAAATAACGATGGAACAACTAGATAGCGCAATTTCAAAGTTGAAAACTAATAAAGCTCCGGGCACAGATGGTTATCCGCCTGAATTTTATAAAACTTTCAGATCCCAAATAATACCCATTCTTGCTTAACTGCTTTAATTATATACTAAAAGGTGGGAAAATCCCACAGTCTTGGAAAGAATCAGTCATCTCAATCATCCCAAAGGAAGGAAAGGATGCAGATGATTGTAGCTCATATAGGCCGATATCAGTCTTAAATGTGGACTATAAATTATTTGCTTCTATCTTATCTAATAGATTGGAGGGCATTATTTCTGAGTTGGTGGATCTAGATCAAACTGGATTTATACAAAATAGACAGGCACAGGATAATTTAAAAGAAGATAATAAGAAGTTGGTATCGAAATTATATGGATATATACAAAGCAGTAAAAATCATACGTCAAATTATGTAAAACAAAAATGGGAGAAAGAATCAGACTCTCAAATAACAGAGGAAGACTGGAGAGATATCTGTGTAACAGACAAATACAACGAACTCAAGATCCTGGCGGGAGTTTGGATGGAAGATTTTAATAAGATTTTTTATAACTCCCAAATTAACAGCAATACGTACAAGTGAACAGAGTCAGGGCCTTTGTTGGAGGCAATGTGGAACCCCAATGGCTAATCATTTCCATATTTTCTGGGCATGTTCAAAAATACAACCTTACTGGCATGAAGTAGCAGCTGAAATTGGAAAAATAATAGGGGAGAAGTTGGACTTTTCATTCTTTACACTGTACCTAGGAAAAATACCTAAAACAGTTTCAGACAGCGATAAATACCTATTAAAAATACTTTTAGCAAGCAGTCGGAAAGCTATAACTCAGTTGCAGGTTGACCCTCCAACATGAGATCAGTGGATGGGAATTGTAAACTAAATATTCTGTATGGAGAGACTTACATTTACTCTTAGACATAATTTGGACAAATGTATTAAGTATTGGGATAAATGGATTGTGTACAAATACCATTGAGGATAAGTGTGATAAATTACTCCAAAGAGTGTATGGAAATTGTATTGTCTTGACTTTGTAATACCCATGATGACCTTTTGTTCCTTGTTTTCAATAAAAATAAAAGTAAAAAACAAAAAAACTATACAGCAAACCAGTGTAGTCCATTCAGTTCCTGATTCTTAAGATTTGGTTCCTTTTAGTCAATTATGATCATCCTGAGTGGTTTTAGTGTTCTATTCAGTTCCTGACTCTTATGAATTTATTTGTTTTAGTGAATCAAAACTATACAGAACAACCAATGTAGTTTCACCAGTTCCTGAAAGAATCACTTTTACAACTTGGTACTCTTTAGTAAATAAAAAAACATGGGACAAGAGTTTTCTATTTGAATTAAAACCACACCGCATGATCATAGTATTCCACCCAGTTCCCCAACGAATGACTCGTATGATTTGGATATTTTTAGCGAATCAAATCACACAGCACGACCAGTGTAGTCTAATTCCCAACTCTTATGAACTGGCACTTTTCAGTTAATCGAATACTGTTGGAACACTATTGATCAATCAGCATCCAGGACCAGAACTATCAGTTTTATCAGCTTACTTTAGTAAAAGACTTGATGTTTTTTGTGTTTCATAATGTTTCCTTTTGTGTACATGTGTAGGGTCTGTTTGCACGGCGGAGGCAGTTGCTACTGACTGAGGGTCCTCACTTGTACTATGTGGATCCGGTCAATAAAGTTCTGAAAGGGGAGATTCCTTGGTCACCTGAACTACGGCCTGAAGCGAAGAACTTTAAAACCTTCTTTGTTCACACGGTAGCCGCAATCCCAATTATCTTCTCATACCACGTTTGCATGTTTTAAACCAGATATTTAACGACCACGCTTTGTTCCCTTAGCCAAACCGGACGTACTATCTAATGGACCCAAGCGGCAACGCTGACAAATGGTGCAAGAAAATCCAGGAAGTTTGGAGGAAGTTCTACCACAAACACCAGAGCCCCAGCCTATAGGACTGCAGTGCTCCCCCTTTGGCCACACCCCCCACAGCCATCCAACCAATCACAGAACAGGGACACGCCCCTGTAGAGACATCTCTCTCCAGCTATATATTGTCTTTCTGTCTCTTCATATATCAGTCCCGTCACTCCCAGGTACCTTCTCTGTTCGGATTCAGTTGCTTCGCGCGCCGAGGGTGGAGTCTTTACAACCAAAAGCAGCAAGGCCGTAGTCAGCATGTCGTGCAGGCAAGCCATAGAAAACCACACGTTTAGACGTTTACGCAAGTCTTTCCATCGATTTCAAGCGAAGCTGGTAACGAACACTCAAAATCGTGCAATCTCCACCTGTCTGTTGCGAAACAAGCGCACATGTTCTGTTCTTTTCTCGCTCGACGCTCACACACGCTCGGCTCTTTACTTTTTCAGATATCTAAATGGGAGTGTGTTGCTTTAGTCTGCGTTTAGAGTTAAGGCGGGTCCTTTTACCCTTATTGGCTGCAGTAGCTGGTCTTGCTGATTCCGATTCGAGGATGTGGTGTCGAACGTCTCCTCAGCATGTTCACGTTACCTTCAAATCGCACCGGGAGACAGCACCACACCGCCACAAAAGCCACATGGGTAATGTGGTTTGAGAGGGTAATTCGTCACCCCTTCGGCCCCGACTGAGTTTAGCTGTTTTCCTTTAAAGCGCTTGCATTGTGACGGTATGCGTTGCTGATTGGAGGCTTGTGACGGAGGGGCAATCTGATCGTGTGTGTGCGTGAGTGTGTGTTTGGCTCCTCTCATTTGGCCGTTTTTAACAGGAAGTTTGTGGAGTGAGTGAGACGACAGACTGAGTGTGTGCGTGCGTGCGTGTCTTCCTGATCGGTAACAGATGACTGTGATGTACAGTTGATGTAATATTGCAAATGGGAGGTGATTAAAGAGGTGACTCTAGGATCCAGGTTTTGTATTTTTATTCTTGTATAAGGTTATTGGGCCACTCCGTTCTGGCCTGGCTTCTGTGTTATTTAAATTCTAATATATGAAAGCATATTTGGATTGTAGTCATGTTCCAGGGCCTTGCTGTGTATGTATTGAATATGTAAAGCCTTTGAATGTGAAGAATTATTGTAAACTATGATATTTTACTGCTTTTGTTTTCTTACTATATCATATACATTTTCTATTTGCGCAATGATTGGCTCATTTCTGATAATTTAATGCCTGTGTGCGCACGGCCCCGCTTGTCTGTGTGTGTGCGCGTGAGTGTGTGTCTGTGTGTGTGATACGGTGTGTGTGTGTCTGTGTCTGTGTGTGTGTGTGTGTGTGTGTGTGTTGGGCCCTTGTAAGCAATGTGTGTATTCTTCTTGTCGGCCTTTTGCGCTTGGCAAAACCTAGAACTGAAATAAAGCATGTAGGGTTTTAGGCCAACACACACATCTGTTTTTCTCCATCTGTTTGAACAGTTGTCTTTTTATTTTGTAAATATAGTATTTCTGTTATTTCGTTATTTTATTATTTGTTTTTCCCCTGATAGTCAAAAGAAAAATTATTTCTTGCATGAAGAAAAATGAAGCAATTTTATTTTTTTATAATATTAATGTAACATTAAAACATTTTAAATAAATATACAAAATACATACATATATACACATTTATAGTTATATGTATTATTTACAAATAGGGAAATCAATTAGACCCACATAAGATATGAATTTACCGCCCTCTATAGTAAACATACGGAATTTCACATTTGTTCGTGCAGCTTCCAGACCAATATATATGGGCTTTGGGCATTTGCGAATCAAAGGCATCGTATGATCAAGAAAAAAGGCTGTATAGACAGGCTGCTCACGCGGGTTCAAATCCAGATATTCTTTTTGAAATCTGCGGTATTGATAAATCAGAATCTTTGTGTCGAATCGGTTCGTTCGGACGATTCGCTTCAACCTAGTCACAACCGCGTAAGAATACTTTGCGCTTTATTCTACGTTCATTTTGTGTTAAAACTGCTATTTTTCACCGTTTTCACTATTAGGTTTCATAAGTTACTTTGTTGATGTTTATTGTACTAACATTACTGCTGACAGAAATATTTTTAATAACGGCGTTCTTTTTTAATATTATAAATTATCTTTATTTTAATAATGTTTATAATTAAATTAGTTATTTTCATTATAATTAATTATACTGTTCCCGTCTAACAATTTTACTGCTAAACTATTTTTTTGTTACAGGTGAGTGATTCCCGAACACTTTGCTAAAAGCGCTTCGGTCGAATCATTTAAAAAAGTATCGATTCAACAGAATGATTCGTTTTCGAATCTCTAGAAATTCGATCGCAAAACGCTACAGTGGGTCTAGATGTCGCAAATAACAACAGCCCGTGGCTTTTCAGTGTCTTGAGCCTAAAAACAAAAGTGAGGGGTGTTTCTCTGCGCCGTCTGTTGGCCACTGGAGAGGCGCGCGGTCACCGTTACGCATTTCAGCTGAACACCGAGCGCAGGATGGCCGAGACTCACGGCGAGATCAGCGGCCACGTCTGCCGGCGACCGGCTCCGGTACAGACCTTTAACCACAGATCCTCTAAGTGGGTCCGTTTGAACGTCGGTGGCACGTATTTTCTGACCACCAGACAGACGCTCTGCCGGGATCCCAAATCGTTCCTGTTCCGTCTGTGCCAAACGGAGCCAGACCTCGATTCTGATAAGGTAACTACAGTTTGATTTATTTCATTTAGAGACCATTTCGCTAGTTCTACTGTGGTGGATAACATAGCCTAATATGTTAGACAGACCATTTATTTATTTATTTATTTAATGTACAAGTAATTTATAAAGTATGGCTGGGAAAAGTAGGTTAGAGAGTGCAGAAGTCTGAAAGCCTCTGTAAAACCTATTTCATTTTAAGTTTAAATAATATTATAATACTACTGACATTATTTAGGCAAGTTGATTGTGAAAATATTATGTAATTTTATTTATACAAACCTATTGTTAGCCAATGTGAGATACTGTTATAACTCATATATGAACATTAATAGGAAAGTGCATCTACAGATCATCATTTCTAAACAATGTAAAGAAGCTGTGATGTAAACAAAACCAAAGATGAAAGCTGTACATAAATAGTTTTTTTTAAAAATACTAACAGACCATTTATTTCATTATTATTATTATTCACAAGACAAAAGATCTCTTCTCAATTTTGAGGAGTTTCTTTAAAATGGGTCATGGGTATTTGGCTTCATAAGTTCATAATGGCTTATATTGTTGTATAGAGTTATTTGTATTGTTTCTATGGTAGTTTGGGGCTTGTCCAGATGGTTGTTTTCCTGTCGGATGGACACGAACAAGCACACTTTTACCGTCCGCTCTGCCACTCCACTCCACTCCGCTCCCAGTCCCAGAACAAGGTCTCTTCTGTTTTGCTCTGAGTGCTCATGGCTGGGAAGACATGCGGTGGATGGTGGCACCTTGTTTGTCTGTGGCATCCTGGGGTGGCCTTGCGATGACATCATCAGCACATCTGCCCCAGTTCTGCCTTGTAATCTGGACACAATCCCGCTTATGATGCCTGAGCTGTGTCGGAGATCAGGGTGGAAAGGTTACGCTGCACGGGTCGGATCAGGCAAAGATCACTGGCGGAGGTTTCAAGTGAAGGCTTCTGATGTCTTAAATTGTTCCCAAAAATATTAGAATCTGTTTTGAATCTGAATTTTGCTGCCAAAAAAACACTGCACTGTAAAGAAATTGCTAAATAACCTAAAAATGTGCATTATGTGCACTGAGAAAAATCTGGTGTAAATCAATTTTCACTCAGAAATTGCTAGTAAATTTCCCAATAAATTACAAGTTAATGCACTAAATTAATTGTGAAATTTTCAAGTAGAAAAACTGAAATAGTATTTTCTCTGTTTTATTTTCAGTTTTAAAAAATCGTTTTTTACAATGTGGTTACAGCTAAATTAATCGGTAAAAAAAATAGTAGTAGAAGTAATAGTATTATTTAATATGACAGACTTCAGTATGAATCAGCCTGACTACACCAGCTCCACAAAATTGCAGTTTTTCAGTCTAAAATCAAGTGACAACTTATGGTTGTAAATTCTTTGTTCTTTATCCAACCACTTTGAATCGGAAAACTGATCAAATATATCAAACATTTTATTTCAAAATATTTTTAAAATTGAATACTGAGTAGGAAACAGCATTATTGTGACATGTTGAATGGATGAAATACATATTTTGTAATATAAAAATGAAATAATTGTCTGTAGTCTACATGATTATTAAATATGGCCTATTATTTGAATTTACATTAAAGCTTAAGTGATATTCAAAGTGTTTTGGATTTTTTTCTAATGTTATAAACAGGTTTAAAAACCACTTTAAATCAGAAACTGATAAAATACATCAAAAACTTTTAAAAAGTATAAAAAAATTAAAACTGAGATGAAATAAAGATGATGTAATATAAGATAACTTCCTAAACTCTATGAAATCTTACTGCCTAATAATAGAATTTATCATTTTTTGTTAAAATACTTTATCTTAGAAATGATCTCATAATAATATCCAGAGATAATTATGAATTAAATATTTGTATTTTGATTCTTTTGTAAAAGTAAAAGTATGCACCGACCAGACCAGATTATTGTCTCCACCAATGGCGTTGGCTTGGGGGCGGGGCCACATGTTAGTTCAACCAATGCCAGATAGGGGCGGGGCAGTGTTTGGGAAACTTGTTTGAAACAGTAATTATTTTTGTGTTATATTGTTTGGATTTAGAAGGCGACACACCTTACGCACTTCCTCTTTAAACCTTGTCATATAATGATTAGTTAAAGTGCACATTTGTGATATCATTTTACTGTAGCAAAAATAAAATCATTCTGTCATTTGCACAGCGCATGTCACATTGTTTCGGGCTCGTGCAGCTCCGGCTGTCTCTCCTCCTCTCATCTCTCAAATCTCAGGCGGTAATCTCAAAATAACCCTAATCCAGAATAATCCTGCTCTCTAGGGGCTTTAACCCTGTAAAGAGCAGGAGTCTCTAAGGCTCTGGGAAATCACTCCACGCCGTTTGTGCCCCAGTTTTGATAAAAGGGTGATTTCAGACTCACACACTGTTCCAGGTTTGGTTTGAATCGTCCTGGTTGAAGGCCGTGCATTTATTTTTTATGACTGTGGCCTGCGTGCCATTACAGACAGATGCCGAGTCCAATAAGCGCACTTACACGCGCACAACACATTAATGTTTAAACTCACTTTCCTCTAATACTTCTCTTCACTCGCACGCTATACTGAAATAAAAACACGCTGTTTTTGGAATAATAGCGAGAACTTGATTTTCACTTATATGTTTGTATGATATCCAAGGTACACATTTCTAGTAATTGTGCAGTTAATTCTCATATTGTATTTTCAGAATGTTTTGGAATATTTGTCCTCGCGCCAAATTTGTCACTACCGAAACACAGTAATAATAATTTCATTAGAAGGGTTATATTGACCTATTAAGATTTTGCATGCATCTACATTGTAAATATATAATTTTTGCTATTTTATAAATTTTTTTCCAGAGGTAAATCAATAAAAATTACATTTTTAACAATATTTCAAATGTAATTAATGAGATTTGTTGTATTTTAAATCTTATTTTTCTTTGTAAAAGGCAAAAAGTTGATCATACCGATTTCAAAGTTAAGGATTCATTAGTCTGAAATATACATTGAACCAAAAACTATCATAACATCTTAGCTGATAATTCAGTTTTGACAAAACATCCCATGTTTCGGTAGTGACTGCACATTTTCGGTAGTGACAGTAATGCTTTGATAGCGATCACATCACATTACAGAATTTTAACTCACATACTAAGATACTACTAAAACATACTAAAATACAAAAAAACTGCATACCTGTACTAAAATTTTATTTCCTCCAAATATGAGGATTATGTGTTCCCTTTTGTCACTACCGAAACAATTATGACATGTTTCGATTGTGACTGTTTCAGTAGTGCCAATTTAATGGGATAATACCAACAAAAAAAACAAAGATGTCGCTACCGAAACTCTACAAATTGTTTCAGTAGTGACTGTTTTGGTAGTGACAATTTTAGATACTTTTGAACCTAGCTCAAAGATGCTAATCAGCACATGGTTAGCTAGCACAGTTCTGAACAGTTGTACAATTATAAAAACTAAATGTTAGGGAATAACTCCCAAAAGGTGTGCTTAATTGCAGAAAAAAGGTGTTCGGTAGTGACGTTCCTTAAAGTTACACATAGATTTTCAGACTTTTGAAAACAGTTTACCTCAAAATGAAGAGACCTATCTATTGACACCTTGTAGCTATGAGAGAGGGGGACACAGGAATATATATTTCCAGATCATAATTGTAGGGGTGTAGTAAAAATCAGTTTCGGCCAATGGTCTAAAACATAGACTGTTTTGGTAGTGACCTGAAAAATGTGGAACAGTTTTTTACACAAATTTTCATAATTTACAAAGAAAATATAATATATATATAGATTTGAATATTTAAATGCTTTATGAATGTTTTTTGATTGTGGGACAGCAGTTTGGACCAAGTCTGTAGAATGGCCCATATGTATATATAAAACGTTGTCTTTCTCTGTCTGTTGATTTCTACTGTAGGATGAGTCCGGGGCGTATTTGATTGATAGGGATCCCATGTATTTCGGGCCTGTGCTGAATTACCTGAGACATGGGAAGCTGGTCCTCGACAAGAACCTGACGGAGGAGGGTACGGCACACATCCACAGTCAAACTGACACGACTGAGACTGCGATTGCTGCTGTGTAGCTTTCATTCTGTTTGCGTGTGTGTGTGTGTGTGTGTGTGTGTGTGTGTGTGTTGGTGTCTCAGGAGCTCTTGAAGAGGCCGAGTTTTACAACATCACATCATTAATAAAACTCATCAAAGAAAAGATCAGTGAAAGAGAAGCCAAGACGACAGACGTAAGAAAGCAGGAACACGCAATTCACTCTGACACTTACACTGAAATCCTTTAAGATTTATTTATAGATCCTTTTGTCAAAACAGACTTTAAACTGAGATATGCTACTGTAGGCGATTCACAGTGTTATTTTTAGTATAATTTTAATACTTATTTTAGTCTGGTTTTCAGTGATTTTATTAAGTGCTTTTGACATTTTTATTTTTTTGTAGGAATGTTGCTATTTATGTTTAATTTATTTGTACTTTTTTAAGTTCAGTTTTAGTATTTATTTCCATTTATCAATTTTAGTGCTTCAACCTAAACTTATTTCAGGTCATTACCAACATTTCTAAATTTTTATCTAATATTTTCTCCATCTAATATTTATATTTTATTTTATTTCAGTGAACGAAAATGTATTTAATAGTTTTAGTTTTAGTTAACGATTAAAACCCAGGTGAATCATAAACTACATTACACATAAAATTACATTTAACTCAAAATATTCAATATACAGAGGTCTTGGATAATATTTAAAACCTTAAGACACTTAAAAATTTATAATGGACTTAAAAATGTAGGAATGTTATATGAATAAACATATAACATTATATTAAAAAGAGCTAGCACAAGCATCAATCAATCAATCTATCAATCTATCTATCTATCTGTCTGTCTGTCTGTCTGTCTGTCTGTCTATCTATCTAATCTAGATATATTGTTCAAAATGAAGATGAAAATGATTGTGACACTTTGTGGTTGTCAAAAGTCCGTTAAACTCATCTATAGTTAATGTGATGAGCTACATCTGTGGAAATAAAGTTTCATTCAGGCATAAACAGGCAGAATGGCACACATGGCACACATATAAATTAAATTCATTTATATTTAAATGACATGTTCTTTATTTACATGTAGCGTGTAAATGAAAGACAGATGCTTTACATATTTCACCATCCTTGTCTCTGTTTTCAGTCGCCGGTCAAGCATGTTTACAGAGTGTTGCAGTGTCAAGAGGAAGAACTTACTCAGATGGTCTCGACCATGTCAGACGGATGGAAGTTTGAGCAAGTAAATCGAACCCGGCTTTAGTTCATCTGATCATTCCAGCTCCACAACAATCAGAATCGCTCCCGCCGGTTCAGCTGACCTGCGGTGTGTGATGCAGGCCCTGCCTTACGCTCTGATTGGTTGTTGCAGCTTATCAGTGTAGGTTATGGGCGGGCCCAGAAGTCAGAGTTTTTCCTGATTGTGTCTCGAGAGGTGAAGGGGGAGGAGTCAAGCCAAACTCACCCCGCCCACAGTGGAGAGGTGTGTCCAACGATCCCCCGTCCTCCCACTAACCACTGCATGCTGATTTTCATTGCAATGGTCACAGTGAATGCTGTCGCCTGCGTGGATGTTGGTGATTCACACATGTTCTGCATGTTTATAATTGTGTTCACATGTTTTTAACAAGGGCCGAGTCTTTGCATTCAATTGCATTCCCGAGCATGTTGACAATTTATGTGCACCCTATTGTATTTTTGTTAAAGGGATTGTTCACCTAAAATGACCATTTCAAAACCCTTTGTTATGTACTTCATTGTTAAGATATTTTGCACAATTTTCACATGGTTCCTGTGCAATGAAAGTGAATGGCAACCAATACAGTCAAGCTTCAAAATGAGGGAAAAAAGTAGAAAAAAGTGTGAAATCGCAATTAAATTAGAATCACAAATAGCTCTACAATCACATTCTTGTTAATATTTAAAATATGCCAAATTGTTTGTTTCCATGACCAGTTGTCACTGAAGTCAAACCTGAGTTAAGGCAGGGGAAATGTTTCCAGTGACGCACAATCATCAGCATTTTAAGGTGGACTGTCGCTTTAAAAGAATAGTTCACCCCAAAATGTACTAAACATGTACACTGGTCATCCAAGAAGTAGATGAGTTTGTTTATTCATCAGAACAGATTTGTAGAAATGTAGCATTTCATCACTTGCTCACCAATGGATGTTCAGCAGTGAATGGGTGCCGTCAGAATGAGAGTCCAAACAGCTGATAAAAACATTACAATAATCCACTCCACAACATTCCATCAATTATTGTGAAGCAGAAAGCTGCATGTTTGTAAGAAACAAATTCAAGACACTTTTAACTTTAAACGTTGACTTGAACTTTTTCTGGCTAAATAAAGGAGTCCATACGCTTCCTCCAGTGAAAAAGGCCATCCCCTGTTATTCTCTCACATCAAAATCCACCCACATATTGTTTAGACTGTTTTGGACTGTTTTCCCTTGTAAATGGTGCTTGCATATTTCTCTCCTGATTCAGACGAGATTACCTTTTCACCGGAGAAAGCAATATTATGTATAGAAGATTCATATTTTAGTTAGAAGCAACTGTCTAAACTTAATGATAGATTTGTTTCAGACAAACATGCAGCTTTTCATTTCACAAGACATTAACTGATGGACTGGAGTCATGTGGATTACTTGTGGATTATTGTGATGTTTTTATCAGCTGTTTGGACTCTCATTCTGACGGCACCCATTCACTGCAGAGCATCCATTGGTGTGTGAAATGACAAATTTTTCCAAATCTGTTCTGATGAGGAAACAAACTCATCTACGTCTTGGATGGATTGAGGGTAAGTAAGCATTCAGTAGATTTTCATTTTTGGGTGAACTATTCCTTTAACCATCTATAGTCACTCACTGAGAACAGTTGCTAAACTCTGTCTGTTTCTCTCAATTTTCTCTCTCATTCATGTTTTGTGTAGTTGGTCAATATCGGATCCTCCTATAACTATGGTAATGAAGATCAGGCGGAGTTCTTGTGTGTTGTTTCTAAGGAACTGCACAACCAATCATACAGCAGCTACACTCAACCCAGTGAGAAAGCCAAGGTAAGCGGCATGTGTGTGTACTAGCATACTACATACTACCGTTCAAAATTCTGGGCATCAGTAAAATGTTTGCTAAAGAAATTAATACTTTTATTTAGCAAAGTCATGTTAAATTGATCAAAGTGACAGTAAAATACATTCATAATGTTACAATTTTTTTCTATTTCCAATAAATGCTGTTCTTTTGAAGTTTCCATTTATCAAAGAATATTTAAAAAAAAAGTGTATCACAGTTTCCATAAAAATATGAAGCAGCGCTACTGTTTTCAACATTGATAATAATCAGAAATGTTTCTTGAGCAGCAAATCAGCATATTAGAATGATTTCTGAAGATCATGTGACACTGAAGACTGGAGTAATGATGCTGAAAATTCAGCTTTGCATCACAGCAATAAATTACATTTTACAACATATTCAAATAGAAAACAGTCATTTTAAATTGTAATACTATTTCACAATATTACTGAATTTAGTGTATTTTTTATCAAATAAATGCAGCTTTGGTGAGCAGAAGACCCATTTAAAAGTCTGTAGTGTACATACTAGAATTATTCAGCAATAGTATGCATAGTATGTTATTCAAAATATGGCTGCTGTGTTTTAGGGTATTGGTGACAGTAGATTAGTGCAGATTAGTAATCTTTTGTGGTATTATGTAAATCTTCTGCTGTTTTCCCTCAGATTCTACAGGAACGTGGTTCTAGAATATGATCATCTAGAGCTCCTGCGTTTTGAGACACATCAGCTCTTTCTAGAACATTCCATGAGCTTGTTCACTGGACACCTGACGCACGTGAAGAGCATGTCCACTGCAATCCAGTCTGTATGGTGCTTGTTTGTTTTGATCTTCATGGATTCAGAGACAGGATCTGGAGAGCTGGACCAATGTCAATCTCAGGGAACAAAAGGAAATGGACAGGTCACTGAATCACTGCCCAACTTTTTGGTTTGTCTCCCTTTTGCTTTAATCAATAACATGAACAAAACCTGATGGTCATGTACTCCTGCATGATTTGCAATGTTTCAAAGAGCATCTTGAGCTTCAATGGAAGCAGGAAAATCTGAGCATCTGTACAAAGAGTCACATGATCAATGTCATTTGATTAGACACAGATATAGTACGGTCTTTATTTAACACTGCTTCAAAAGAGAAATTATTTTAACTCTTTTTGTAAAGGTTTAAAAAAAAAATCCCTTTTTGTGGTCTCAGACTTTTGGACCCTACTGTCCTATGATTTATATATGCAACAAAAGTGATTTTGAAAATCAGTCAAAAATTTGGCAATAGCACCATGTTTGAGCACACATTTAAATGCAAGATTTTAGTGCTGAGAAATATTTCTTGGTGTTGAGATTTTAGCTACACTACCATTCAAAAGTCTGGGGTTGGTAAGATTTTTAAATATTTTTGTATAAGTATAGTCTCTGCATTAATTTGATCAAAATGCAGTAAAAGCAGTAATATGGTGAAATTTTATTACAATTAACTGTCACATGATCCTTCAGAAACCATTCTAATATGCTGATTTGTTCAGTTTGATAAATAGAAAGTTTAAAACAGCATTTAATTGAGATAGAAATATTTTATAACATTAGAAATGTCTTTACTGTTGCTTTTGATCAATTTAATGTGTCCTTGCTGAATAAAAATATTTTCTTGAAAAAAAAAAATCTTACTGAGCCCAAACTTTTGAATGATTTTTTACTCCTTTTAATGTGAAAATTCTCGCTTTTGCACTACTGCTATTATTATTATTATCCAGCCAATATTTCAGAGGTATCGGTGAACTGCTGTTAAAGGGGTCCTATGATGTTGCTAAAAAAGAACATTATTTTGTGTATTTGGTGTAATGAAATGTGTTTATGCGGTTTAAGGTTAAAAAAAAAAATTGAAATCGCATCATATGACCCCTTTAAGAAATGTGTTAGTGTATATTATTACTGAATACTTGGCTGGACCTTAAAGGAAAGGAGCTTTTCTGTCTTGTCAGCCAAGAGGAGAGACAGGATATGTGAAGCATTTAAATGACACTTTGCCTGTCCTGATCTTGCACATTTTGGTATATACTATATATCCTATAAGGTAGCAGCGTATGCATTTGTATGACTTTTGAAAATGCTAACATGTAAACCTGTTCTGCAAAATCACGTCACTGTAAAATTCAAGTAGTTGAATGTAGCGACACACATCCACACACTTTTAAAATATATAAGCAATTTCAACAAATAGTCACATGTCTGTGTGCTTTTTACTGCCATTTTGGAAAAAAATAAAAAATAAAGCTATATATTAAAAATAAAATAACTTTCAAATTTGAATTAGCAATGTTGCTTTAGCAACTAACTGAACATAAGCTGAAGCACTAAAATTACTCAAACTAAAACGGAAATAAAAATAAAGCTAAATAGAAATATTAACAACTAATAAAAAGGACAAGAATTTAGCAAAATGCCTAAAACTGAAATGAAATAAAAATAAAAGCTAATTCAAAATATTAACAAATAGTATAATAGCATATAAATAATACTGAAATAACACTGATTGGAAATTCATGAGGCCAATATATTTACATACATTAGGCGTTTTCTCTCATTTCATTTAAAATATTCTAGAATTAATCAAGCTCACTCAATTCTACATTCACAGCTCCACCGTGTGGTGATAAAAAATCAGTTTACAAAAGTAAATAAATTAAAAATAAATACATAAAAATGTTGTAACCAAACAGTTGCTGGTCCCTATTGATTCCATAGTATGGGAAAAAAATAACATAGAAGTCAATAGGAACTAAGGTATATTTTTATAACTGGAAAGCTGTATAAACGAAACCATGAAAATTAGGCCTCACTTATGGTTTACACTGTATGTTCACTTCAGCAAACTCTGTGAAGAAAGCAATCAAAGCACAACCTGCACCTGTCTCCGAGCGGTACAAAGATATTTCTACAGAACATTCATACATGTCTGGAACAACTTGAGGGTAAATTAAAAAGGACAGAGTTTTTATTTTTGGGTGAACTATCCCTTTAATATTAGCAGAAAACGTCATTTGACTTTCTTTGAAAGCTCAAGGACTCTATTTATATTCTCCATTTTATTCCTGTGGCTTTTTGAACATCCAGGACAAAACAACTACTTTATTACGTTTTTATTTATTTATTTATTTATTTTATATTTATGGTTAGTAAACCTGCCGATTTCTTTGAAAGTGTATACAGTTAATATAATATATTCGGCATTTTATTTATGAATTTATACATTTGCCCTGATGGATGGATGGATGGATGGATAGATAGATAGACTGATAGATGGATGGATGGATGGATAGATAGATGGATAGATGGATGGATGGATTTTTTTTATTCTGGTACTGTACCTTTAAATGTTAGCCGTCTAAAGGAATGCCTGCCCTAAATTGTTTCCACCGGGGTAAAAATACAACGTCTAATTTTCCTAAACACATGGCGCCTGTATGTCAACGCTAAAATATTTAAACAATTCTATCTGTTGAACGGACAGCATTCGCGTCATCTCGACCGACACAGAATTTTCCTGCAGGCGATCTGCGCGTCGTGCCGTGGGTCCTGATTAGACTGCTTCAGAACCGAATGTGTTTTCGCGAGGGAAACTTCACAGCTTTGGTTCCGAGTCCAACACGATTCGAATACGCGGGCCCAGAAGTCGAATAACACTGGGATTCACAAGGTAAGGCGGTTCTGTCGGTACGGTCGATGTATTATTGTGTTTTTGCTGGCCGGTAGACGCTCGCATCGGTTTTGTTTGGCATGGTTGCTGTGTGAACGCGAGCTCGCGTCAAAGGAAGTCGAGTTTCTTTGTCCCGCGCGCTCTTGAACAGCGTTCCAGCGCTCGACTCCATATTTATTGACATTTTATGAAGTCATAATGTTAAGTCTAAACTTTCCTTGATTATGGAGTCATAACGTGGAGTTAAAATTCCATTATGTCATAGTGTAGGACGAACTTCTATTATGATGCCATTATGAGGACTTAACCTGAGATGTGACTGCTTAATCAAGCTTGTAAACTTAATATTATGACATAATCTATCATACAATATAATCTGTAGTTAACAACCTTTATTATATCGTCGTAATAGCAAGTTAACAACCTCAGTTTTGATTGTGGTGTAATGAAAATTTGCTTAAGTGCATAGTGTGACGTCAAATCTTGATTATGTCATACTGTGGATTTCATAACATTTAAGAAATCTTGATTATGATAAACCAAATAAAGTATATAAATTAAGTTAATTTTATTTTTTTTCCCAGAAATGCTAGTTGTTGTTATTGAATTGGACTAAAACAGCCTGGCTTTTCTCACAACTTCTCTATTATTATTTTACTTACTTTATTTACTTTTTCTTTTTTGGGAATACTAATCCATAATTAGTTACTCCTGTTGTGTTCCCAGTCAAAAATTAACAACCTACAAAAAAAAGTTTACCCTGAAGCTACCATATTAGAATGATTCACTTATTAACTCATGATGAACTATAACGATTTAGTTTACATGATTTTATATTCACCAAAATGTGTGTGAAGTTTTATTACTGGTAAAAAATTAAAAAAAAATCTTTGAATATTCATTTTGCCTGGCTGCTAAAAATTGCTTTGGCATGCAAAAAAAAAACAACACAATTAGTTTAAAAATCCTTAGAACTTTTCTCAAGTGAATCTGTCACAGGCAGGTTTATATGATGGGTACTATAAATATTCTAAATATTAAATATTCTATAAATGATCTACAAATATTCCATAATATAAATCTTTTATAAGAACTACAAATATTCTAGTTTCTAAATATATTGCACTTGCTTTCTCGTTTATTTATTTAGCATATACTCAGATAAATGTGCATTTCTCCATAGGTTCAGTGGTCATGTCTGGCATTGCTCTGAGTCGACTTGCGCAAGAGCGCAAAGCATGGCGGAAAGACCATCCATTCGTGAGTAACCCTTATTTTTTTTTATTAAATTGACTTGCAGTCCACACAACAATCAGTGTAATCCCATGCACATCTGTTCACTTCTGGATATATACTACAAAATAAACCTTTGTTTTATTATGAACCCTGTAACACATGAGCATTGTATCCTCTGGTGCTCACTTAGTGCTTTTGTCTCGGCCAAATGTCCCCAGGGCTTTGTTGCTGTGCCGACGAAAAACCCTGACGGTACCATGAATCTTATGAACTGGGAATGTGCTATTCCAGGAAAGAAGGGGGTAAGACGGCTCCTTTAAGCTTTAATTCGATTAATCCGCTGTAGCATCATGTGAGATCTCTCTCCATCTCTCTCTAGACTCCATGGGAAGGAGGTCTGTTTAAGTTAAGGATGCTGTTTAAAGATGACTACCCCTCATCACCCCCAAAATGTGAGTTTTGCACAAACATATCCAGTCCTTGCTGCCTGGATCACACCTCACGAATGCTTGCTTCTTTTCCGAAGGTAAATTTGAGCCTCCGCTGTTCCATCCGAATGTGTATCCTTCAGGAACAGTGTGTCTTTCCATCCTAGAGGAGGATAAAGACTGGAGACCTGCCATTACCATTAAACAGGTCCATTGAAAGTCTAGTCGGTTCTATTCTAGTGCTTTGTGTTCTACAGTGCTCTTTTATAAAAGCTCATCTTGCTGTTTTTCTTCCTTCAGATCCTGTTAGGGATTCAGGAGTTGCTAAATGAACCGAACATACAGGATCCGGCTCAGGCAGAGGCGTACACTATATACTGGTATGATAAGCTCAAGCTAAGAGTTATAGAACATAAGTGTTGCGTAGTTCCAAATTTGAGATTTCCAATGGACCACTTGTGAGGTTCTATTTTAAGATAAAATAGAACCTCACAAGTGGTCAATTTGAAATGCTTCTCACAGAAATAGCACTCATAATGTCAGCCGTATGAGAAACACACACAAGAAAGTGCAGGTTAGCATGTTGCTAAGATAACAATATGGTAAGCACAAGGATGCACATAAAAATGTTGGGATTCCATAACAAAAAAATAGAATATTAAACCCCATTTCCACCACTTGAGTTAATATGAAAAATATTATATTGGTTAAATATCATAATTTCTGCTTTTATGTCTACTTTGTGTCGAACGTAGAATTTAGCAGTCATCTTGAGATTAAAAAGTACAAATTATGCAACAGTCAAATTTGATAGAAGGTCATTGAGTTTTTTTTTTTTCTCTTTTGTTTATAATTACCTTGTGTCATAATTATGCTATTTAATTTAATTTTGACTTTTTATGTCTTAATTACAACTTTGTCACATTTGACTTTTTTTTTTTTTTTTTTTTTACGATTTATTTTTAGCGTTTTATGCCTTTTATTTAGATAGGACAGTAGGTCGACAGGA